CATAATACAATGACCTACCTATCGGTTAATTGTTAGCGTATACTACGTTACTCGCAATATCAATAGCAGGAAAAAAGCTTACGCATTTGTATAAAAGGCGATGCAATACGATACTGAATCTTTGATGGTAGTGCTTATAGAATGCGGCGTCGATGGAAAACATTTAGATTCGTGCTTTTAGATGTGTGTTTTCAAGCACACATTTGATGAACATTAATGTCTATGCACAAATGAGATGAGGAATTCGTTGCTCTGGGGTTCAGCCTTGTCTTTTGCAAACTCATAACATACAAGACAATGCAGGAGAAACCGCGCTATATCGCAGTTAGAAATCAGTCATGGCGGTCTGCTGTCGTCGCCCATGGCTCAGTAACATAAGTCGCTGACTCGAAAGAGTAAGGTTGCCGGGTTCGAATCCAGCAGGATTCGGCGAGTTCACGCTAATGACGAATCCCAATGGGACGAAACGCTTGTTTAGCGCTTTTTTAATGTGTGAGGGCTGTCTGTCTGTGTCTAACTGCAACTAACCTACACAAAAAGACATATGGAGAGCTAAGTAACCATTCACCTACTCACTTGGCTCCTGTTTCAGCTTCTTTGAATTAACGCTACATTTTGAGCACTTCGAAATAATCTACATGCATGCATACGTAAGACAAGTGGTCCATTCCGTTTTAGCAAAGTTTATTTGGATGGCAAAATAAAGCAGCTTCGCTAGAAGTACTCAATCACAGCACATACATATCACAATGGTGTCACAAGACAACGCAACCTCTCATCCACAGTTGTAAACTAACTACAGAACGACACGTTGGTGGTGAGGGTCAGTTGTCCCGACTTTGATTTGATTGTTGGCGGCTGCTGACATCTGCGTTTTAAACAGACGCGTAGATGGATTAGCTGCCAATAAACGTGAACGGAATCTAGTGCATCGCGCATGACAGCACTAAACTGCTTCACGCATAAACACTGGAATGAGAACGTGGAAATTAAATGGCTTCGGATTTACCGTATTTTTCGGACGATAAGACACATTGGATTAGAATGCGCAGTATCAGTGAACGAATCTAATTGCATAGATAAAACGCACCGTATTATAAGATGCATAAAGCGAAACAAAGTAGTCGGATAGATCAGATTTAATTCAACTCATTAACAATAACTTTCAATATTGTTCACTTGTAACACACATAAAACATGAAAAATACACTCATGTTTTCAACCGTTTGTACAAGTCTGTCAAATTCTTCATGTTCAGTGTCGGCTTAACAGTTGAGCCATGGGCGGCATCAAGCAAGTCCTGATCCCTCTCGTCATCAACTGAGTCAGTCTCGTTGTTGTTGCTTGGGTGTTCCTGGATGATTCCTGCCTTCGTGAATGCTCGGACGCCAGTTGAGACCGATATCTTAACCCAAGCATCAACAACCCATTGGTAGATAGGGGTGTAATGAGCCCGGCGTTGCCTCCCTGTCTCGGTAAATGTAAGCTCACCTTCTGTCATCCAATGCTCCCACGCGGCTGGCGATTTAACTTTATACTTCCTTTTGACACCAGTATCTAGCGGTTAGAGTTCTTTGGTTAATCCACTCGGAATGATGGAATGCTCCGAATTTATGTTCTTCACTTGGCGTTTGATAGTTTCGGTTAGATGGGCGTAAATGGAGTCATATATCAATAAGGACGGATGTGGGGAAAAAAGTCATCCGGTTTCCTGACGTAGACTTCTCTCAGCCACTGGTTCATGTTCTCCTCGTCCATGCAGCCTTTTGCGTTGAACTTAACGACAACTCCAACAGGAAACCATTCCTTTGACAGCCTTCCTCTTACCAATGACCATGCGTGTTAATTTCTGGCCCCCAGCCTGGCAACCGAGAACTATAGTGAATTATGATTTCTCGTTCCCTGTGGTGCGTATAGATAAAGTAGACGTCCCTGTTTTTCAACAGTACGGTTCACGGGGATGTCACAGCTAATAGGAACCTCGTCCATATTTGTGATGTGATTTGGCTGGATCTTCTTTTCTGTGATCTCGTTCTTGCAGTAAGTGCGGAAGATGACCAAGTTTTCTTCGTAATCCTTTGGAAGTTGCTCCGTGGTGGTAGTTCATAATCGGATGTAGGGACCACGTCCTTTCATAGAACGAAAGCACCAAGAAGCACCTCCTTGAAAGTCGTTCATCTTCATATCATGTGCCATCGCTACCTCGGCTTAGACAACCGGGTAGTGTCGCGCCTACTGGCGAACCATAGACTTACAATTACAACCATTTACAAGCTCTCTTACTGCTACGATGCTATTCACTCACGCTACTATGTCAACTTCACAAGCACAAGTCACCATTTTACCTACCCTTCCCTTGTACCACGCACAACCCTATTTACCTGATTCCTCTATGGCGATCAACCCCAGTTACACCGAAGAACCTGTTACCGTGACAGCTGTCAACTCAAGCACACAGCGCTCAACAGAGCGAGCACGCTCTCTTCTTCATTTGCTGTGACAAGCGGTGTTCGCCAAGCTTGTCCTAGTTTACCTTTCCTCTTCAATTTCACCAGTGAAGATGTCGTCCAAAGAGCACTGGAAAGTGTCCAAAAATGCAGTGTTGAGCTCCTCCCTGGAGACAGAGTAACGGATTTGGACTACGCCGATGAAATCGCCTTGCTGGGAAGACCCACACACCATCCAGAGCGATTTGGTCCTCTTTGCGATGTAGGCGTCTAACTACGGCTTATACTTCACTGCGGGAAAATGTAAAACGCTGTTCCAGGACTGGCAGGAGCCTGAAGCCGCGCTCCCCCGTGCCGAACATGTTCTGAAGCAAGTCCCTTTGCTTTACTTATCTAGGGAGTTGCATCAAGGCTGGTAGCGGATTTGGTGATGAATTTTCACAGCAGACTGCAAATGTCCGCCTTGCATTCATAAAACTGAGACACCTATGGCGCCTTCATGCTATCAGTCTCAAGCTCAAGGGCACGATTTACATTGGTTCCGTGCATGCAATATGCTTGTACGACTGTGCCACTTGGCCTGTTCGCTCGGAATACATGAAGCGGCTATCAGTCTTCGGAAATCGCTGTCTATGGAGGAGTGCTCTGTTGTGGTGGGAACACCACGTAAGCAATGCCGAGGTCAGAGACCGAGTGCTTAGAGTGAGTAGTGCCAGTCTTCCGAACGTTATTCTCCGACATCGCATGCGTTGGCTCAGACACGTTTTGCAATTGCCAGCCCATCTTCTTCCACGTCGAGCGGTATTTGCGCTCCCAGGGAGCTATGGGAGAAAGTGCGGCGGTGGACAGAAAATGAAGTTTAGGAGCAGAATGAAGAAGGCAACCTAAAGTTTGGTGGCAGTCGTACTAGTCCGTCTTCCAGGTTGGGACTACGAGATGCTGTATCTCAGTGGTTGGAGACATTGGATGTCATGGCCCGCAACAGACACCAGTAGCGTCCTTGTTGTTCTGCCATTTTATCCCACAATTTAATGTACACAAAATCTCATGAAGTAAAAATATCAAAATGGCGTGTGTAAAACCAAAAATATCATTCCCATTTTCATCGCATTTCCTCTTCTGCCATTGCATCCCTCTTTAATATCCACAAAAATCTACGCAACAATAAAAACAACTCAAAATGGTGTGGTAAAACCAGCAAATCCATTTTTATTCTTGTAGCCCATTTCATGTTTCTAACTTCTCCATTTTTTCTTCTGCCATGGCTCTGATAGCACAGTGCCTGTTAACAGGCTGTGAATTGATATATATATATATATATATATATATATATATATATATATATATATATATATATATATATAATCCCTGTTGCCTTGTATCGAATGGAGACAGTAGAGACGGTTTAATCTGCTAATCTATGTTTAGTAATCCAATGCACAACTCTGTCCTTTAACTGTGGCCAGCTTGCTTTGTTCACTCGGAAACACCTGTTTTCTACTTGACACAGGTCATCTTCTTGCTTCTTCCACTTCCCTACCATTGATTCATTAAGGTTCGACTCTTACGAAACTGTTCTATTCCCATGTTCTACTGCCTGGCCGATGGTCTTGAGTTTGAAATCCGCTTTTCAACCATTTTGGGGACTTTAATTACCCGTATGTTGAAGCACAGTACGTAGCAGGAAAAATGGTAGGGGTAAGCGAACAAGCTTCGTCTTGATCAACAGCATGCAACCGGCGCTAAATAATATCATCGTGCTTGACCTAATATGTTGACCAAATTGTATGTATTCATGTATGTCTCCTTAAGTGAATTGCTGTTCCTTCGGTAGTACATGCACGACGACGTACGTATTAGTTGTCCATCCGAAAACCTCAGTTTGGACGATGATGTGTGTGAAACTCACACCATCGTTGCCGAATTTTTGGATGACCGCACGTCTTTGGAACACTGATGTGAGCGCAGATCTTGCGTTCAAACATTCCTCTGCAACCAGCGAGATCAGGTGTGTGTTTTGGCGGTGTTTGCAATGTGAATTATGAGTTTTCCGGGTGGAGTATCCAGTAAATATGTCACAATATTGGATACCAGCTTGGATGTTGAATACTTGTTTGGTTTATTGCTGCCTGGGAAGCGCGAATCAGTTGGCTCCTGCACAGAGTTTGCCACCTCAAAAAGAAGTCTGCCTAGACAACATAGAAAGCTGACTCCACGAGGTTCCTGACCAGTGATTATGCTTCGACAACCAAAGTCCTAATAAAAGTTTCCCGGATTTTTCAGCATAATGTAAACATAGAAATTAATTCCAGGTCACTAGGCATCAACCCAACCGTTTATACATAAGGCGCACCGGAATACAAGGAGCACGGGCGATTTTTAGCAAATATAGGGATTTTAAGTGCGCCTTATAGTCGGAAAAATACGGTAAGAATTCTCTCATTCCAAACGCATGGTTCCCTTAAATATTTGACCTAGTGCAGTCCTACATTTGTTATTTCGATCACAATCCTTAACAATGTTGTGTACTTCCCGGCCATTTCTATTGTACAGATTCCTTGCCGAGCACGGGTAACACAACAGGTATGTGTCCATGAACGATTGTTGCGTGTTCCCCATTTGCATGTGTTTTCTCAGGTATTTTGACAAGACTGCATTCATTGTAGCTAGCGTGCGAGCACTTGCAGTGTAGCGAGTACAAAGGATGAAAATCTATAACGTAAATCCACACCGATAGCTTCCCCATCGACTCTAGAATGTCGCCTCTGTTCGACCACAAACTTTTCCGATGACCTAGCTACGCTACCTAATGAATGCTACTAGGTTCATGATTTATTTTGTCTATTGTTATGCAGGTTAATTTAGAGCAGTAACAACGTAGGCGGCGTTGTTCTTTTACAGCTAGAAATCTGATAGTTATATGGTTTCAGGAACCTGCTGCCGGCCGTAATTCTCTAGCTCAATTTAACTTTGAATTCTCAGTTTGGTGCTGTAACGGTTTACGGAGCAGGTGTCAAATGCTTTTGAGTTCTACTGCATTTGGTACGCCATTATGAATTTCATCCGTAGGCGCCGAAACCGACTGCTTTTATTCGCACACAGAATGATTGACCATTGTAAGTCAGACAGAATGGGCCTTCAGCTTTTTTGGATGGGTTTAATCGTGTAGTTTTGAATTAGAAAGATCGCACGTTCCTGGCTTGTACAAACACTGCGTGACATATGCTGCATGTGACCTTAAGCAAGCGTTTAGAATTTGTGGGTAGGTAGCTGACTTTCATTGTTCAAGCACTCTTCCTCGCACATGGAGGTATCCCCGGGTATTTTCGAGCATGCAGTACCGTCCTGGACCAGTGTCTCGGAGTCACACATAAAACAAGCTTTATATAAGGTGCACTTTCCAAGTTTGAACAGATACCTAGACTGAAGACGTCTTTGAATGACGTAATAAATACCACAATCTGGGGATAATTCTGCGGTAGATATAAATGACAATACCGGGTCACTTCCGAGGAAATTTTTCTCTTACGTACAACTATCTGATGCCCAAATGTTGACATCACCTACAAATAGCAGGAAACTTTTGGCGGGGTTATTAGCGAATAATAATGAAATCGTGAACATGACAGAGAGTCCTGTGGAATGCCTCATTGCGCCATAATTAGGTCGCAGAATCTTGCCGAAAAAAGTTAGTGATCCTCTTAAGGAGAATGTGTAGGATTCTACAACACAGCGGCTCATAATATGGATCTAAGAGATGATAGGCTTTGAAAAAGTTCATATGGATGACGTTTATCTCCCCCAACACCGATACTTTCCGTCCAACCAAATATCGTAGTCATCAGATTGCAGAAGTATGACCGCTCAGGTCTCATGATGTTGGCTTTTCCCAGCTAGTCCACTAAAGCGTAAGTGGCAACCGCTTCTAACAGCTTCGAAAGCACTGAGTGAGTTACTGGGCGATGATCGGCAGTGTCTAAATTATTACATCTTTAATAATTGGTTTACTACCGCACTGATGCTACGTATTTGGGACATCTAACTCTGCATCCACATGAGTCAAGACCAGATGTCAATTTAGGGTTAAGAATTCTTTTCGGTAGACTCTCCTTAGGCCCAAACATTTACATAGTACTGATTAATTGGAGTAAACGTCAAATCGGGCTGGGATCGATTTCTAATTTGCTTAAACTGTCAAAATCGATGACTAAAGATGGCTACGTATGGTCAGAAAAGTGCACCGATGGAACATTAATACACAAGCTTCAGCAGCCTAAATTCAATAGACATATTTACAAAGGGAAACTAAGTAGCCATTTCAGTCAGCTACGGTAGGGGTATCGGCCTTGTGAATTGTTTATGTACACAGAATTTAGGCTTCAGGTAGTGGATGTAAATAGCTCCGTAAATAGACAAGATTTGTTTTCGGAACCCTTGCGAGAAGCATTCAGGTAGTGAGTAGATGACTTCTAAGTCCTCGGATGCCGTATGGCCACAATAAAGGAGGTGCGACATGATTGAGCTGTTCGAGGACATCAATTCGCCGGTATACGCTCGCGAATCCTCTGCTCATATTCTTCTGGTGTACTATACGTCGATCGCACGAAGAGACACCTATCCCAGAGCATTCGAGAGCACATCCCGGCGTGTGTTTACAAAAAGGAAATGTTATCTCGGACAGCTCAAATTGTTTTTCACAGTGTGTTTATTTAACAAACTTTCTGAACCAATGCTCTGTTTTGTCATAAGTAAAAGCTTTTATTTATATTCTAGAAGTCGGTTGGTACTGGGTTACGTACTTCTTTAAGGTGAACCTGGTCAACCAGGCCGCTGCATATCTGTGAGACTATAGTTGAATGCTATTGAATTAATTATGTAAGCTCGAAAACCACTGCGGAAAATTCTTGGGGCGATACCCAAGCAGACTCAAGTATGTTCTAGCATGGAGCTGGTGGCAGCAAAACACGAAATAAATTACTATTAGACAACAGCAAAATGGGCGTTTAACGTGCCAGTTATTTGTCGTTTTGCCACTCGCATCTACTTTAAGTATAATCGTTACAGTTTGTATGACCGCAACTTTTCAAGCTTTCTCTCTTTCCCTAGTTCCTCTACAAGTTTAATTGCTGCCTACGAGCCTGGCACAACAGCTCCTGGATGGCTTACCTACTTGAAACAAACGGATTTATACTTCTGCAATCTTCTCTTAGAATCCTTGTAGACTTGCGAAAATTATTTTCGGCATATTTCACTTATGCACTGCAATATATTTTCATACTTTTTAGTTAAATACACTCTTTAGTCGAAAAGTGTTTTAAATGGTAACATTTAAATTATTTGCTAAGCGGTACGATGACGTGTAAATATTTGCAATCGAAACGTGTTTGATATGAAGCAACTATAATTTACCGGTCCGAAATAGCAGGGATCAAAGATTGCCACTTAAAATCATGGAGAATATGAGGCGTAATGAAAACAGGGAGAAATACAATGAAGTTTTATCCACCGCACTTGTTTAAGTCTTATAATTCATTTGGAGGTGTGCGTTGTATAAGTGATATTTTAGAAAACAGTTTAGGTTAGAATAGTCCAGGCTTTTAAACACTGCTATGGAATTAAAATTTTCTGCTTTTAAAGGCACATATTGCTTAGTAGTTAAACTGTGGGGTGCCGAAATTACCAAGTGAACCTGTTGGGTCATGACTACCGCGGCAACAATTATAAAGAAGTGTATGCTAGTAGAACTAGAACAGGATAGTTAGAACAAATTGATCTGCTAAATAAGCCGTGACAAATACAAAGTAACATAAGCAGAAATAAAATAAGGAAACTATCCTGAACATTCGCCCTCTATACATCAAAAATCATTTATCTCAACAAATATGATTTTTGAATTAGAGGTTGTCGAATTCCTCAGGTAAACAAATACCCGGCAACCATGTGTGCATATCAAAACGTTGTATTCAATGCAGTTCTTGATACCACATATATGCATTGAGTGCTGTAAATCGGGCCCTAGAAGCCCCACGGAGACTGTTGACTTGTCCGCAACTTAATGCCTGCAAATCAACCAGAAAGCTTGGAGAACAAGCAGGGAACATAACCGAGCCTTGAGCTTCAGAGTTTTCAGTTTAGTTGTTTGTTCAACCCCGTTTGCAAAGGATCACATTGCACGTTATACTCGTTACCGACTGCGACGTTTTGAAGTAAATTAATCCAAATTATTGCGACGTAATGATTCTCAAGAGCTGTGTTAAGAAAAGATCGGCAAATCCATGTATTTAAGCATGGTTAAACAATTCCACATTGTAAACCCTTCAAACTGAATCTTTTCCTACCGCAGGCAACAGTGTGTGCGTATATGTACCGTCTACAGACAATTGCTTGATATGGGTATTTAGCGCCACGCGGGTTGATCCGGTTACGGGAAACTACGTCCTTTGAAAAGTTCCTCATTTGCGGAGTATCCAATTATGCATGCTTCGACTTATTATCTTTGTGGAACTTGCCGTGGAACTTGGATATCCAAGACGATGCGTTCTTGCAAATACCTTTAGTCGCCCAGTTCTACAACACAGATGCTGCCTCGCAACCATTAGGTCTGGCTAGTACATCCGTATTTCATGGTTATGAAACTGTGCGAACTCTCCACTTCCGGTTCTCGTGTCACTTCATATTTGGACCTGGTATTACTAAACTCCGATCTTCATTTACACCACAGTGGCACCCATAGATTCTGAAACCTATGCAAAACATGTAATCTAACTCTAATGCAAAAAGAAGTTTTAGTGAAATGCAGTCTGAATTGTTCGGTGTACTATAAAATCAAAGTTATTTGGAAATCTTTGATAAAGATTTAAATCAAGAACGGGCGGAAGACAGATCTTCGGGGTACACCACTGTAGACGTATAGATTGTCGGAATTTGTCTTGGCAAACCTTACTGTAATTGTTCTCCCGTCTAGGTAACATTCCAACCAGGTGAGCAGGGAACCGGTTATCTCATAGCCACTACGCATTTGGAGAACATCTGATTGAATAACTATGTCAAATGCTTTAGTAACCTCTAAGTAAAGCACTTCTTGTGGGACTCAAATCTCGGTTACTGTGATCCGGGTGTCACCAGCCAAAAGCAGATTAATCCGAAAAGATGGTCTGCGTGTGAACATATGTTAAAGATTGTCAATTATTTGCAGAGTTCTACAGTAACGTGTCAATTCTATCATTTGACGAAGTAGAGGAAGAGCAGTAAGTCCCTAGTTGGCAGGATGAGAACGCCTAACTTCCTTGTACATCGAAGTGGTGATTCTACTTATTTACTCAAATTGACAAGCATGTGAATAGATTTGACACTGAAAAGGTACACTGTAAAAGTACGCTCAAGTGATTTAAGAACCTTGTATATATCATGCCGACTCACAGGACACTGTTTCCACGGAGGGACTGTAATGTGCTTGCGACATCTGTTGCGATGAATTGGACGTTGGATAAGCCGATCACATTCGCTGAGAATTGATATGGCAAATGTTCCACAGCGTTAGTGGCCACTTAACCACACTGTGATGGCAACGGTATTCGCAATATCCATGAAAGTAGTCGATGGCCACTGTTATTCTTGCGTGTTGTGAATCTTGCTATAGTCAAACCTGTCTAACGTGACCACACAAAGGACCGACAAAAAGTGGTCGCCTTGGACACTTTGTTGCTATGGCCAGGTTCTTGCATAAGAACATCAGTCATAAAAGAAACCTTTGTAGAAGTTTTTGGCTGGTCGCCATAGACAGGTAGTTGCCATGGTAGTTTGGACTGTACAACTTTCTGGTCTCCTTCACATACTTATGAAAAGCTTTGGTGTTGCTTGCAAACCAAAATGTTTTACCGTTTTGTCATTCATACTTGTCGGATCTAATGAATGAAGTGCAGTATTTTGCCTGTTTTGCAGTCCTACTTGTTAGATGAGATTAGTTTTGTGCGTGTTGCATAAAATTCGCATCTTCTCTATTGATTCAATTACCCGTTTTGTTTTGGACCCAAATGTGACCTTGGTCCGGTAAACGTATTTATCGCAATTTTCGCAGGTGTTTATATAAGATCACTCAGCTTGTCCTTTACGTCATTCCGAGCTACTCCGTCCGAACTGCGCTGCAGGAGATTCCAGTCAATCGTTAGAGCTAGGTTTTAAACTTCGGTGGTTGCTAATAGGGTGTCGAAGTTTTAAACTTCATTAGAAATGCTATAGTTCCACACAACCAAACGACATGGCATCCATTTTCTGCGGAGGAAAGAGCAGGAAGTAGGATTTCATTACCATGTCCCGAGTCTTATCTTAACTTTAAGGCTTTGTTATTCGACCCTTATGTTGCCTTTGAGCTATGTCAATTGACGACTCCGATTGAAGACCTATGCAACGAGCAGCGTGTTCGCGACAGTCCTGAATTCTAAACCAGGTATGTACAATGTTGCTGTCTACAGATGGTTTGAGAGTCAAATCAAAGATAAAATTCAGCAACCTTTGGACCGAAAATTAGCACCATAACGATGCAATCCAAAGACTAGTTGTCTCCAAACAGAACTGAATCGTGACAACTGGCAACCAGGAAAAACAAAGAGAAAGGAACACCGACTGAGATAGGGCAGTCGGGCATCATTTATAATGTTAACGGAAGGTCAGGCAAGCCGATCAGCCTGCGAAGTAGATCTCTTGCGTTGCAAACGATCAATATCCAACATAATCTGAACAGGAGAGGGTAGGAAACGAAGGCGAAAGCTATATGTACAAGGAGGAGCCTGTATCGGAGATGCTTAAATCGCTCTCGTACATATAAAATTTTCGCTGTATCCGAGAACCACAAACCTCTCTTTTGCGAACTGTATCGGCGTTTACATGCACACAGTGGTGCATAATCAATGTACAGGTATCTGCATTCATATCTGAGTTACGTAATCCGAGATGAGGAAAGCTGTTGGAGATTGAATATTACGCGATGTTATACTCCGACTTCTTTCAGTCTAAATTTATATCGAGATTGGCAAAAGTTAATAGTCCAGGAAGACAATTTGAAATGCAGATGGTCGTCAGTTATAAACATAACCAATTTTAATTAATGATCATCTCCATCCCATCCTTCAGATTAGCTGATACTCATAGTGATGAATTGGCCTTTCAAATTATGTGTGTCAGAGCAAGATTTAACGAAAATTGCCAAAATTGCATATATATTTGCATAAAAAATTCTGCCAGCGTGCATATTTTGACTATGTTCTATATCCATAGTCTTACGTAAAACAACCTAAATATTCTCAGAAGACACCAGCACAGTGTCTTGAGACAAGTGTCCTGATTGACGCCCAGGATCAATCTCACATTGAATCTCCAGTTGTTATCCATTGCGCTTATTTGTTGTTCTTATGCACACAGCTGAAAATGATTCGTTCCTAAAGTTTGTTTAATTGTTGGAAAAATGACGGTCTAGTCTTGTTGTGACGGCTACAGAGCGAATCGTCGGGTGATTAACTTTGAAGGCCATCGTTTAGAGCAACCAACCAAGGTATATGCATATTGCCTAACCAACCATAAGAAATAATGTAACGATTTACACTAAGAAAGTTTCATCATCCAAGCGTAGAAAAAGCTGTGAACATAATAGCCTCCATTATACCTCGTCAAGTCTGCTAGCTCTGGGGAGAAAACTATTACAACTAATTTACGTATTGGGGAAGATGGTTCATTAACCTTTCGAGAGACTGCTACAATGGGAAGCGTTTAATGGCAACATTTGATAGCCCCACTATCACACAGGTTGTAGTATCAAATAAAAATACAAGAATAACAGGTCTCATCACCGCAATTACACACGGATTAGGGGGCTGGGAAGAAGAATTTTACCAAGGGGGATCTACTATGCAAGCGCGTTTAAAAACAGTGCATCCAGTGGCATGTATAGTTATCCAATCCGCTAGATCGAAACGAAATTCCAAGTTACCTTAAATAGCTGTTAAATTAAAAGCCGTTGAAGTGAAAATATCAACTTTACTTGAACTAGTAAATGGATACTTGTGGTTTCATGGCCAAGATGCTGTTAGTTCGCCATTCGTTACATGACTTGTATCAGGCTTACGTAGAAAGATGCGGATGTGCGGTGACCTGCCGGGGTTTAGATTAATATTACACTACTCAACACTTGAAAGTAGTATAAATAGACAACCATTATTAAAGTACAAAAGCCCATGAATAGCACACCAAAAATCTCGACGAATAACTGAGAGTGAAGCCTCCGTGCTCTCAGTGCTCGCTTTACAGGTAAAAGGCA